AAAAGCTAAAAGCTTCATATGAAATCATGAGCTAAATGAGAAAATCTCTGATAACTGAAAGACACAGTGGACTCACCATGTGCTTTTCTTCATAGATCCTCAGAAAATAGGTAAAAGGAAGTCAAGTGATGTCATCAGTGTGATTTTTATTTCAAAATATGAGATATTTTGTTATGTGGTAACACCAGTGACACGACTCCTGCTGACCACAACTTTCATTATATATTGTATAATATTTATTTGCCATATGTTTTCTTATGTTATTTAAATAATATATTTCATAGTATTAATTATTGCAGTCAAAATTGCAGACAAACATGTTATCTACCTCAAAAGTTTGATTTTAAATTATAAATAAATTGAAAATCCTACTATGTTTTCAAGTGTAATGTATCTGTAAACGCCAGGGACACAAAAATGGACGTTTCCACACAAGGACTCTTATAAATGTTGATTTACTTGCTCACAAAGACTAAAATCCTGTTGTAAATCACAAAACTGGAAGCATAAATTTCCATCAGCATTACAGAAAAACAAAAATGCCTAGCTTGACTGAGTGACCTCAAAAACAGGTGGAATTTCAAAAAGGGTAAAGTCTGTTTAATGTTTACAGTAGCCTAATTCCCAAAGCCAGACTTCTGTGGTCAGAGATTGTGATGTGTTTCATAGCCAAAAATCACCTGCTTTGACAGGAAAGGGCTGTTTGACGGACATGCAAAATAATGAACCACAGATCGTTGTTTTTGGGTTAGGCGTATTGTGTAGGCAACTTTCAAAACAGGGCTACAAAACAGACCCGCAGGAAACAAACTGATATGTGTATCAGTAAACACGTAATGTTATCTTGTTTAAGAGTTCTCATTCAAGAAAAGTCTTTCATAACTTTTAAAACTGTCGTGCTGTCGACTCCACAAACTTTTTAAAATTCAGCTACTTTATCTACAGTAATCTCAGAAAGCCTCTCATGGTTATGGTGCACAGAGCATACAACTGCTCGGAAAAATGTGTTTTACCGTCAGGCTGATAGACGGAAGTGTGTGCACACGGATATACAGATACGAATAATGGAGCTGACAAACAAGGCTATACGTGCAGGCAGTTTGTCTGAGGCTAAGTAACCCAGTAACCCAGCTTTAGACCAATTTTTTGTGTACTTCAAAATAATGAATTAAAAAAAAACAAAAAACAAAGAAACAAATAACAAAATAAAAGAACAAAATGTAATTTTTCTAGCAAAGGAATATATGAGGTCTTGGTTATAAGGACAGTTTCTGGGGACACTTTTTAACTCAGCAGCACCTTTTCTTCCCCAGTGGACAAAAACAGTTCTAGCTTTGACAAGTGACCTGCAGTGGCCCCAAGCACGACCCAAGTGTCCCCTCAGATATCTGACCATAAATTGGAGAGGATCTGTGGTCCCATTCCTCTTCCACCCTGCTGTTTCAGGAGGGCTTTGGGAGATTTGGCATTAGGATCTGACACGCATTCAGTTGGGTTTGTGCAGGTTCTCGCAGATTAACTCCACTTGATAGCAACAAGACAGTGATGTAGCTGGAGGGCCTAAGGGACTTGCCAAGGTCAACATGAAGCAGAGCACATTTTATGAAAAACATACCAGAAGTGACGGAGGAATGTCATAACACAAAGCCCCAAACATAATACAAGTCTGAGAAATAAAAAGAAAACACAGGCAGAGCTCTTCTTGTTTTGAATCTTCCCACTGCTCAGCTCTCCTCTTCTAAAATTAAAACCTAGACAGGTTTCTGACCATCAACAGGCCTCTGAAGTTGGTTTGTCATTCTGTAGTTGCCATCCTGTCCATATTAGGAACTCTAGGACTAAGCTGGTTTGACTAGGTGTAATTAAAGTTTCAAAGGGAAAAATTAATGCTGTTTTGGCACCTATCACGCCCTGTGGTAAACAAAAATGTTCCAAACCGCTTAACCCCAAAGCTTTCCAACAAACTGACAAACCATACCAGGAACAACCTAGGCATTACAAAAACTACCAAATTTTACCAAAAACTAACAAGCCATACCAAAAATAGCCAAATCATACCAAAAATTACCAAACCATACTTAAAACTACCAAACTATTCCACAAACTAACAGACCTTACTAAGACAACCAAATCATACCAAAAACTACCAAGCTATACCAAAAGCTGACAGAACATAACAGACCAACCAAACCATCCCAAAAGCTACCAAACTATACCAAAACTGCCAAACTTTACCAAGACAACCATACCAAAAACTACCAAACCCTACCAAGAGAACCAAACCGTACCAAAAACTACCAAACTATGCCAAGAACTACCAAATTTACGAAGACAACCAAACCATACCAAAAACTATTGAACTAAACCAAAAACTACCAAACCCTACCAAGACAACCAAACCATACCAAAAACTGCCAAACTTTACCAAGACAACCAAACCATACCAAAAACTAACAGACCCTACCAAGACAACCAAACCATACCAAAAACTACCAAACCCTACCGAGAGAACCAAACCATACCAAAAACTACCAAACTATGCCAAGAACTACCAAAATTTATGAAGAAAACCAAACCATACCAAAAACTACCAAACTTTACCAAGATAACCTAACCAGACCAAAAACTACTGAACTAAACCAAAAACTAACTAACCTTACCAAGACAACCAAACCATACCAAAAACTACCAAACTAAACCAAAAACTAACAAACGTTAGAACTAAATTGTTGATTTTCACTGGTTTAAGCAGACAGGCAGAGAGTGTGATGTGACAACATAACCAGTTGTGCTGAAATGGGTTACTGGACAAAGGTGCCATGAGAGGATCCTCAGTTTGTCAGTGTCCAGTCCGTGTTGATGGCTCCTTTTTTCTGTGCGTCCTGAAGATGTGCTCAGATGGTGCACTGAAAAAAAAAAGATGTTGAATTTACATGATTTGAATGTGTGTATCAGTTCATACAAATGAAATATATCAGTTGATGTAATACATTTCACATTTCATACATGTGGAGCCAACGTACAAATCTAAAGTGCATTTAAAGCTGCTTTTAAGCAATCTTTTTGTGCTATTGGTGCTGTTTTTTTTTTAAGTCACCTGTCTAAGACTTACCCCTAAGACAGTATTGTCAATCTGCAATGTCTAGGAGGTGTGATCAGACAATGGTACATTGCACACAATATGACAAACCTGTTTATATCATTTACATTGCTTTGGCAATAATTTGAGGAGCTGCTGTTGTGATAGAATCATGTTTAATAGTAAAGTTTAATAGTTGATTTACATGCCACATCATTTCAGTGTGCAGGAGTGTCTGTACAATGGTATTTCAGTGTACAAATATACATAGAACAGAACATTTTGGGCTTGGAACAGTGAGTGTGTTTACATGCACAAATAATCTGATAACTGCAGAAAATCAGATTTTCTCAGTAATCCCATCAACAGGTTTACATGCTCTTGAGTAATCAGATAATGGGAAACTCCAGGTCTACATGAGTCAGGCAGTAATCATTTTTTCTGCTTTACAACCAGCCAATAAACTCACAGAAGAACGTGACATAAACGTAATGTAAAACTCACCTTACCTGAACTTACCTGAAAATATGAACATATACATCGTGTAGAAGATGAAGAATATTTAACTCCTTTATTTTGTGTTTGGTTTCAGCGCCTCTCTAAAAGTGTTTTGTTGTGTCTCGCGCCGACGCTGTTTGCTTATTTCCGGTACCGCCACCTGTTTTTGCGCATGCGCAGACTGAGAAATCTGAAAGAAATCAGAGTAAGAGTTTACATGCGCTGAGAAATCTGATCACTGAGCTAAACTCCAGCTCTCTTTATCAGATTTCTTAATCAGATTTCTAGATCTGGAGTCTGGTGTTTACATGACCATTTGAATAATCGGATAACTGCAGAAATCCGATTATGATGGAATTATTAAGTGCGTGTATACGCACTCATTGTTGTTTACCACACTGGTTTTTGAAAACAGTGGTCATTTTTTCCCATCAAAGAGCTACTATTAAATTCATATTGTGATAGGGCGTTGTTTCCCAGCAGCCCCTGCGGTAGAACCAGTTTATTTTCTGAACTCTTTTAAATGTGTTTAATGTGTCACTGTTTAATCTTGATCAGATTTGAGATTGACTGCTTTTTGTAGTGCTTTGTGTTCATTTTTGTACCGTTCATTTTCTCCATTCTTGTGTTGGGAAGCATGGATTATCAAATTATGTGGATTAAATATATTAAATAATTTCGAATTTGGACTCAAATTCGAATTTATTATCTGATATATACGCTACACACTGTTCTGTAGGTGTGGTAGGGGAGTTTAGTCAAGTTTATTGAACCGATTCTTTTGAACTTTCCGCCTCAGCAAATCCAACAACCGACTCAGCGATTCATAAATTCACAAGTCAGCTTTATTCTAATCTCCTCCAAATACGACTGAATACTCAAGTCTCAAACACATTACAGAAGGCAGCTACACAAAGGAGAGCTAAGCAGATTCAAAGATGCTGTTCATCGTGTTGCAGTGTGGCACTGTTATGAATCTGTCGTCGTTTTATGAGGTTAAATTGTGTATTATTAGAATTTCACGTAAGCGTGGAGCAGATGCCACAGACGAGATTCGGACCGTTTCGATTCAGTGAATCGGTTCGACCTGTTTGCTGAAAAGAACCGATTCGAAAGAACGATTCGTTCACCAGTCGCTGCTGTGCCGTGTGAGACAGCTGAACTCGCCGTCTGTGGCCACCAACTACTCCAGGTACCGAGTGACCGCTGCGATCGTGGATACAGCGGAAAAGACGTCAGCGAGGGTGGAGCGCGCGCACGTGCCGCCACAGTACGAGACGCTCGGCGCGCGCTGGAGTTCGTGGAAAGTGAAAAAACGACGAGTTGAGTGGTGGCTGAGTTTCGTACCGACCCACGCGCTCTGGCCGCTTCTGGTCCGCGCGCAGATGTGTCCAGCGGCTGGTCGCGGATCAGGGCTGGACACGATGAGCTGTGTGAGGGCCGCAGGTGCGCTGAAGCCGCGCGCTTCTCCTGCCGCTCCGCGCCTCTGAGCCTCCTGCATGATGATGAAACTCCTCACGCGCGCGCGCCTCCTCCTGCTCCTCATCCTCACAGGTCCGTTCAGCGTGTTCCACCTGCCCAGGTGAGCTACAGCTCAGCAAGCGCGCAGCAAAGCGGCCTTGAGTGCACACTTAGTCTTCTATCTATCTATCTATCTATCTATCTATCTATCTATCTATCTATCTGTCTGTCTGTCTGTCAGTCTGTCAGTCTATCTATCTATCTATCTATCTATCTATCTATCTATCTATCTATCTATCAGTCTGTCTGTCTGTCTGTCTGTCTATCTGTCAGTCTATCTATCTATCTACCTGTCTGTCTGTCTGTCAGTCTATCTATCTATCTATCTGTCTGTCTGTCTGTCTGTCTGTCTATCTGTGTGTCTGTCTGTCTGTCTGTCTGTCCGTCTGTCTGTCTGTCTATATATCTGTCTGTCTGTTTCTGAACATGTGTGGCCCTAAGCAACATCCTACTCTATGGACCTAATCAAGTTATATTATTTTGTATGAAAAGGTAGAAAAAGAGTTCATATTTAATTATTGCTGATCAGTAATAAAGAGATCTCTAGACTCGCTGTGATTTTTTTGATGATATTATCTAATATTAAATACATTATAAAAAGGACATACTCAGGGGCCTCTGGGGCTTGGGGTCCCAGGCAAGTACTTGTCTATCAATTTATAATAGTAATAATAATAATAATAATAATAATAATAATATACATCCTTCTATATGTTTTTCTGATTTTGTAAGTGAAAATAAGTTAACAAATCCCCCACTGAGACATACTTAAATATAGTATTTTCTCTTAATTTCTGTGCACAATTTCTAATAAAATGTGCCTTAACTTTTGCACAGGCCACAATTTATGTATTTTCCCCAATACGTTAAATTCAGCAAATAAACAGTAACTGTGCATTAAAATGTGTGACTTATCTGCACTTATTTAACAGGGGAGAGAGAGAGAGAGAGAGAGAGAGAGCATGGTTCCACTTACAAATGTGAGATCACATCACTGTTACTTGTAGATAAGGGTAAAATGTGGAGGAGATAACAAGAATAAATGAACTTAGTTGCAGATTGCTGTCCTTGTGCTGAAATTCTCAGACAGTTAAAAAATCATCTTTATAATTAAGAATGTGCTACACAAAATTTCAAGCCATAAATGTCAAAACTCGGTCAAAAACTTGGAAAAAAACACTCTGTGATGATGCTGATACCTGCCAGCAAGACCATATTCTGGTAGAATAACAGCAGTTTACGTAACTTTTTTGGCAGTTCTAGATTAAACACTGACGTTTTGTAGTGTGTAAAAAACCATCCATGTTTTATTTGAAGCTTATAACAGACATTTTAACATATATTTTTACCTTCGCAGTTTTATGGTGACTCCTTTAGTAAAGCGCCCTGGTGTAGAGCTGCCACCACGGTGTTTCATTTCTAACTGAAACCTAGTTAGACTGCCTCTCATACTCGCAGTCAGGGCTGTATCTAGGATTTCCAGACGGCCTAGAGTGACGTGTTTTTCCACTGTGAGCCTGATTGGTTGATTCCACTCTGTTTCTAATTATTCTAATGACGTTAGTGGTAAATCTGTCACACTAGGCCTTCAGTTCAGCTCCTGAATCCTAACCAGTGGGAGGCCTTGCTTAGCTATATCTGCGTAGTTACTACAGGAGGAAAAAATGCACACTGGTCAATTTTCCGTTGGTCATTTCAAGAATTTAACCTTTTTGTTTCTAACCAAACCTTAATCAAATAAGAGCACTACTACAATATGTGTACAGTAAATACAGCCAGCATTATGACTCTATTAAATAAAAATGAGCAACAAATTACAGATATGTATTATTATTATTATTTTTTTTTATTTCTAGGCCTAGAAGGCTCTAAGGGGGTCCCCACCACCATACAGAGTCAAAAATTACATAAACAAGTTTATTTGAGATCAACAACTCACCACACATTGAGGCAACCGTGTACTATGCAGTGCTAAACAGTGAGATTTTGTTACTTGCTAGCTTCATTGGCACTGAAGCTCCAGTACAAAACTAATGAAAGCAAACTTAGGACACCAAACCTGTCTTGGCTGGTCAAATACATTTAGAAACATTGGAAAAACTGTGTGCATTTGATTTCTTGCTTAACTTTCCCTTTAATGACTGTCCCCTCCACCCGCTGCAGTGTGATGGGCACCCCTCTCATGATGGACCCCAACAGCATCTGCAGGAGGAGCAAGCCTCCAGGCAGCGCTCACGCTGAGCTGTGCCAAACGAAGCCCGAGATCATCCAAGAAGTGGCCAAGGGCGCACGGCTTGGCATGCGCGAGTGCCAACACCAGTTCCGCCAGCACCGCTGGAACTGCACCAGCCACAGCAAGAGTCTGGGCAAGATCCTACAGCAAGGTAAGCATCGCTTTCACAGCAGGGACGGTGGTGGGGGTGGGGGGGTTATACCCACTAAGCTGCTGCGAAAAAGAAAAGAAAACAGTGTGAGCAAACACGAAAGCAAGTGTTCCAGGAAAGCATGTATTTCCAAAACAGTGCTTTTACGTACACCACCGGTAGACACATGCATGTGAAAAAAAGAGGGGGGGTATTTTTACTATTGGATGTCTTTCAGTTATTAATTCCTGAAGTAGTTAATACAAGTGTTATATCTCTATCACTCGGAGAGGAATTACTTCCTGTCACGTTGTATAATAAAAATATTGAGCGCTCATTACAGTTTGGCACTTCTCTGGAGTCCTTCTAAAAATGTCTGAACTAAAATCTCCGAGAGGTCAAAAGATGGAGCTGTCTGCAGCTGAAAGAGTGAATTCTCCTGGTAATATAATCTGAATTAATTCCCAGAAAGAGAGTTGAGTTGGAGCGTTTTCCCAGGCACTTACTGACATGTTGACCGATGCTTGACTGTGAAGGGTCAGCTCTCTGCTTAGTCAACGCTTAGTCACGGCTTATTCAGGCCGGTGTGCGTATCAGGCGCACGCCAAGTGCTCTCGGAGAGTGAGAGTATGGCAGGAAGTTCTCTGACAGCTTACTAGAAAGTCTTGAGCAAGTTTCTGTTCAACGTGTAGTTCTGCTGCTGACCATGAGAGGGCAGCGTTTTTCAGTCTTATTGTGCTTCACAGGGGAATCAGTTTGAACAGCCATCTATAAATACATCGCTGTTCGAAGAAAAACATAAATCTTCACTTTTTATTTTCTCTTTTCTGTATCAACTGAACACAACAGCTGTCCTATACTTTGCATTAATGTTTCATGATAAAATGCCCCAAAATTGCTTGGAATAAAATCTCTTTAAATTAACTTATGTTAAAAGTTCAGAATGTTTTTGCTCTTCTGTAAACTTACCACCACGATAGAATACGCTAATATTTTATAAATAATGTTATTTGGTATATTCATTATATAGTATATATTATATAATATTATTGTCATAATAAGCCATAATTCCACTAAGTAATATACTTTATTAACAGCAGGCAGTTTCAGTAGTTGAGATGTAAACAAAGTCATTCAGAGTGGTTTGATGTGAGATTCATGTGCATTGTAGAGACGTTTAGACTGACAGCCCTAATCCGATTTTTGGCACATCCAGATTGTATCCAGATTGATTTTTGATAGTCTGGACAGCAAAGAAACACATGAAATCCAGATCCAAACCACATTTGGAGGTGGTTTAAAATACAATTCCAATCGGATTTGTACAGATATATCTTAGTCTATCAGGGCTCGGCAACCCAAATGTTAAGAATGTTAAGAGCCATTTTCAGCAGAAATCTGACCACCTTGGGAGCCACAACATTTCATGTCCATTTTATTGAAGTAAAGTTTCACCATATTGGCTGTAAATATGTCTCAGTATGTGCTAATGTACTAGTTTAGACTAAAAAAAGTAATGTAAATTAAAATTCAGACTTTGCTCTGCTTTGAGTTTTAGCTCAGCTATAGCAGCTTTTCTCACATCTCTGGCAGGAAACTTTTCCACAAAAGTAGAATAGTTTCTTGTACACTGTCTCTCAACAGCTGATGTCGCTTCCCATTCACCAGCACCTTGTCTGCATTTTCCCGTTCCACCTTAAATGGTGCCTGAGGCGCCGGAATGTTATTAGCTATGTAGAGAACTGTTGCACCATTTAAGGTGGAACGTGAAAATTCAAACAAGAAGCTGGCGAATGAGAAGCTGACTTATCCTCGCGACTTTTTAGCGTCTGACAGTTTCTTGTTGCAGATTAAACGTGTCAGGAAACCAGCTGGAGTGATTATAAATGCAAATAAGTCCATTCGTTTACAAATTATCAATGTTCATTTTAAATCTTTCTCTTTGCCTTTTAATTAGCTACTAGCTAGGCAAGACTGTTTATGTGGCTATGTGACCAGCATTCTGCGTGGCAACCTTCAGGGTTAAAGGGTGAATAAGCAGTTATACATAAAACTCCAGTGTTTAAGACCGTTTGAACACAGCCTTACTGATTCAGATTTGATTCGGTGTTGATAGGAACCAGAGGTCGCAAAGTCTGCGCTGCAAATATAGTCATTACATTTCCTGTCTAAAATGACCAGTGAAGCTACACGTGTCTTCAGAGTTTTTGCATGTAATGTTGATAATAGTGAAATAAAAGTAAATAAAAGGAAATTGCGTTTTATTTGAAGACTATTTTGCTCTTCACCACCCTGCATGTACCTCTCCACCATGCTTTAAAGCTTCAAAAATGTATTTTTGTCAGCATCATAAAACAATATCTCAGGTATGAGGCAGCATATTTGTAATAAGGTCTTGTAATAGGTTTCTGTGAAGCTTTAGGAGGTATTAAAACTGTTAACAATTCTGACTCTGTAGGTTTCTCTAGAATTTCACATCAAACCACTCTGACTGACTTTGTTTTCACATCAAACCACTCTGACTGACAAATGCTTTCATTATGCTGAAATGTTGAAATGCTAATGGAATTCCTTGTTGATTCAGAATTCAGTTCATGTATGCAGCCACGTTGTATCATGTATTTGTTGTATGAGGAACACACACGAACATAAGTGCCAATTAGACACAAACAAAACACAAAAATAATATTAATGAACTAGGGGAGGGTCCATCTTTAAAGCAAAGAAAAATTATGCGTAGATATTTATGTTTAGTCATATTAATTCTGCACCAAGAGGGGAACTAATGACCCATAATGTAATAGTTTGATTATTATACAAAGTCAGGCCTTATTGTTGACACAAAAAGAAGCCAATTTTCATTAAAAAACATCAGTTTCAGTTCTTAGCATCTATACTGAAAACTAGGTTCCAATCAGATATTAGTGCTGGAACCCTCCCTTGTTTAATCTCTTTCAAAAGTGATTTCTCTCCTGTTTTTTTCTCCTCAGTTGTTTCAGCCAAAACCTAGCTGTCTTAGTCGTAACTCGATCCAAGCTTACTGAGAAATAAAGCGCAATCTGTTATCATTACAATCCTGTATGAGTAGGGCTGTCAGGAATGTGACACCGAAAGGATATTCTGTCAGGCGGAATTTGGTGTTGCATGAATTTGACACCAAGAATGAGTGTTTCTTGGAGGAACTTTGATTCTCGCGGAAGGAAAAAAACCCTTCGGCAACTGGATACAGCGTACATACAGACAGGTCTAGACAAGAGAGATGCGCAAGGAATGTGTGTGGAGTTATGGAGAGTTATGGCTAAAAGGTAAGGCCTCAGATCTTCAGGAGATGTCAGAGTGATGACAGGAGGTTGTAGAATATAAATTAGGGCTTTGTGTTTGTTGCTTTTCATGCTCTAACAAGTACTGTGAACCCAGAGTAGAAGGTGATAATGATTTGTTGTTTCTTGTATGGTTCCAGATGTGTTTGAGTTCTTTTTATATGGATGCTCTATAAATGTATCGCTTTGTGTTCGTGATAGCAGTATGATAAATGCTCATCGTGTGGCTCAGTGTACTGTACATCAAAGGAATAGCTTTTTATAGCTCAAATTTACCCCATATGTAGTTGATCAGCTAAGACATCTTTGATGTCCAAAGTTTGTTTCTGTAGTTTTATTTTTAGCTACAAGGCTAATGCAGCTAACAAGAACTGGGAGCTAATACCCCCCCAATTAGCACTGTGCAGTTTGCACAACTAGCAAAAGTCCAACCCCCTTGGTCACTGTTGTTATATCTCTTAAACTCTGAAATCAGGCCACCATAGTAGCATACTTAGCACCTAGGATTTCAGCTGCTCAACAGTTCGGGGGCTCCTTTGTCATGTTTTTCATTTCATAATGCGCCAAATGTTATCAGTGGTGACAGGTCTGGACTGCAGGCAGGCCAGTTTAGCACCCAGACTCTTTTAATACGGAGCAATGCTGTTGTAATACGTGCAGAATGTGGTTTGACATTGTCTTGCTGAAATAATCAAGGCCTTACCTGAAAAAGACGTCGTCTGGATGGCAGCATATGTTGCCAAAACATGTATATATCGTTTCAGCATTATTGGTGCCTTCACAGATGTGCATGTCACCCATGCCATGCACACTAATGCACCCCTCTACCATCACGGATGCTGGCTTTTGAACTGTGCACTGATAACAAGCTGAGTGGTCTTTAGCCCGGAGAACACAGTGTCCATGATTTCCAAATAGAATTTCAAATGTTGATTCGTCAGATTGCAGCACTCTTTTCCACTTCCCCTCAGGAATTTTTCCACTTCCCCTCAGGATTTTTTCCACTTCCCCTTTAGGTTTCTTCTTTGCAGTGGATGCAGTGATGAACTGTTTTCACAGGCAGTGTTTTTCAGAAGTGTTTCTGAGCCCATGCAGTGATTTCCACTACTGAATTATGTCTGTTTTTAATGCAGTGCCGCCTGAGGGCCCAAAGATCTCAGCCAGCAAATACTGGTTTTTGGCTTTGTCCCTTACATACAGAGATTTCTCCAGATTCTCTGAATCTTTTAATGTTATTATGTACCGTAGATGATGAAAAGCAAAAGCTCTTTTCTATTTTACATTGAGAAACATTATACTTGAATTGTTGCAATTATTGGTGAACCCCTCCTCATCTTTACTTCTGACTACTAAGACTCAGCCTCTTTGGGATGCTTTTTATACCCAATCATGTTACTGACCTGTTGCCAATCAACCACCAGGTGTTTTTTTAGCATGGCACAACCAGCCTTTGGTTGCCCCCGTCCCAACTTTTTTGGAACATGTTGTTGGCATTAAATTCAAACATATATTTTTCAAACAATAAAAAACAATAACATTTCTCAGTTTCAACATTTGATATGTTGTCTTTGTACTATTATCAATTAAATATAGGGGTCAAATGATTTGCACATCATTGCGTTTTGTTTTTAATTACATTTTGCACAGCATCTCAACTTTTTTGGAAATGGGGTTGTACATTTAAAAACACTGTATTATTCAGAATTGATCATACATAATGTTTATTGCAGACATAAATGTTTGAGCACTAACAAAGTGTGAAAGTAGGCCAAGGAAACAAAAAAAGGATTATGGGAACCATATTTACACTAATTAAACTAGCTAAATCATTTAGCTACTCAGTGTTAAACTGGCAGATTTTCATGGCAAATAAGCCGGAGGTTTGAGTGATGCTAACTCTAAAGCTAGCACTTAGGCTATTCATTGCAATGCTAATTTGGATGTTAAGGGGAACTAGTCTTCCTGCACACGACGTCTTTTAGTGGAAATTAATTATACTAATGATTGTGTATATTAATATTTCTCTTTACACTGAAATGAGCTAATTTAAGCACAATACAGTTTTGTTTAGTCTAATCTAACTGTCAACTGTTAGCTAGACATTCCTGATAGAAGTTACTCTTGTTCTTGAGCATTATTGAACATTAGACATTATATTAAATGTACAGTAATAATAGATAAAGCTTAGCTTACAATAGCGCAAATGTGTGACAGTGGATGCTGAGTGAGGCCTTGCTAACACTAAAGCTATTCATTGCAATGCTAAGTTGGATGTTGAGGAGAAGTTTGTGTGAGTATGAGTGCATTAATATTTGTCTTTACACTCAATATGAGCAAATTTGAGTGCTATACAGTTTGTTTAGTCTAATCTATCAGGCTAACTGTCAACAGTTAAGTTGTCAACAGCTAGCTTAGCTGGCTAGCCGATGTTACTATTGTTCCTTAACATTATTTAACATCAGACATCATATTAAATAAAGCTTAGCTTACCTTAGAGCAAATGTATGACCTTGAATGCTGAGTGAGGCCTTCTACATAGTGTTAATACAAAACATTAACCTTTTCAACTCCTTGAGACCACCGGTGGTTCCAAAACGCACTTTGTCATATTCTTCATAACTTTCATATTTCATAAGCTACATTCAAAAGATGGGGGTCATATAAGAGCTATAACTGTCTTCTTTCCAGTCAAATAGATGGGTGATGTAATTTTAAACCCTTATAATAAAAGAAGCTGAACTCACAATTTTTTTTGTTTACTGAAAGTCGACCCATTTGTCCACAAATCTGGGCTGTAAACTATAAACAGGTGGCGTCTCTTCAGTGATCTGCTCTGTAAAAATTATTTTTATAAAATAATACAAAGAGCGTCTAAGATTTTTGGCTTTCAGCAGTAAATTGTAAGCATATAGAAATATGTGTGATCATAAAACATGTTCTGTTAATTAGAGGGGAACTTTTAAAAAGAATAAATAAATTAATTAATTAAATAAAAATTTACAGTTATTTCATGCAGTTACTGAATAATTTGTCAATCAGAAGCCTAAAACCACATCAAGTTTTTAGACTCACTTATGTGGTCTGTTATGTATAAAAACATCATGTACTCAAAAACAGTAGCGATTTCTTGAAACATGAAATCCATCCATACTTTTCTCTTTTTTTGTAGATAATAGTATACAGTGTCTGGAACAAGATAGTGTACAAATTTGATCTTTCAAAAAACTTTTCATTTAAACAGTTTTAACTTGTTCATTCTCAGATATTCGGGAGACGGCGTTTGTAAATGGAATCACAGCTGCAGGAGTGCTACATGCAGTGACGCAGGCCTGCAGCCAGGGGGACCTGCTAGAGTGTGGCTGTCTGACTCTGAAGATCTCTCCTGCAAGCCCCCTTGAACGGGCCGTGGACCACACGGCCAGCCAAATCCCTGCGCTCCAGGACCAGCGCTGGGAGTGGGGCGGCTGTGGGGACGATGTGGACTTTGGTTACGAGATTTCCAGACAATTCATGGACACCCGGAGGCGAAAGGGCAAGAGTGACATCAGGACCCGGATTGATCTGCACAATAACGAGGCAGGAAGACTGGTAGGGGCACAGCACGTTTCATATAGAAGCACTTCAGGATTAAATGGATCATTCTGCATGGTGAAAAGCTTGACATTGTAACAATAGAAGAACCCTTTTTGGTACTATACTGAACCATTTTCAGAAAGGTTCTATATAGAACTATGTACAACACATTCTCCATTAATCTGAACCAACCATTTCACTATGCAAAGAACCATTTAAGCATGAAAAGGTTTTGTATAGAACTTGTGCTTCTAAATAGAACCATTGCCTTTACTAAGGAACCCTAGAAGAACCAAACAAACAATTTTAAAGCAATAGATTGTCAAAAATGTTGATTGCCTCAAATGTTATTGAATGGTTTGGTTTGCTTCTTTAGCTTTGCACTGGGGCTCTGCAGCTGATGTAGCGAACAAGCTATGTACACCAATAAGCACTGGACAAACTGCATGTGTAAATAATCAAACACCTGACCCAGACTGTGCTGAGGTGTTAAGTAATCTGAAAGAGACATATTTATGCCCTTTTAGCGCTGTTTGACATACTGATACCTATGAAAATGAACAAAAGAATATTGCATAGCATAAAACAATGGCAGCCAGCCTGAAGACACCGAACATGTTCTTGCTGACTGACTACATTGAGAAGGGGGAAAATTGTGTACATACAGTACTGTGCAAATGTCAGGTTTGGTTTATTTAATTCCCAGTCAAAATGGTCATTTATACATACATACATACATCTTCTAAACCGCTTATCCTTCTGGGTCGCGGTGGGGTGATGGAGCCTATCCCAGCTGTCATTCGGCAGAAGGCAGGATACACCCTGGACAGGTCGCCAGTCCATCGCAGGGCAGACAGACAGACATACACAGTCACACCTAGGGTGTGATTTAGTATGTCCAATCAGCCAAAATGACCATGGTCGCCCAGCCAGGAATCGAACCTAGGCCATTTTTGCTGTGAGGCGACAGCGCTACCCACTGCGCCACCGTGCCGCCCCCAATTTTGGTCATTTCCAAATCCATCAGTATTTAATTGCTCCACTCTTTGCTTTTGTGCTGCCACTTTCAACTCCTGCATCCTTCCAGTCTTAAATCCAACCAGTTACAGCTGCGTCCTCCCAACAAAAGCTGTGCCCAAAGCTCTCACTGACGTTATGTTCCCCTTCAAAAGGACACATTAGCATTCACACATATAACTACCCAAACTCACCTAAGCTGCCCTGACATTTCCTCCTCATGTAAATCTAATATACAGGAGTGATTCCCACACGGATTTACTTAAAGGCGCAAACATAGACAGGACAATGACTGAGGTAACATCCCCCAGTGTGCTGAATGGCAAGTTTCATTTTAAAAAGCTTCTAGATGGAACTTCCATGGATGACTAAAGGTCACCACTAACCTTGGATGACTAAAGGTCACCACTATAGGAACAGATAGCGCTCCCTATATGATTGCGGCATCAAGGAATCTACCATTTGAGCGTTTGCAGCGCACGTTATACAGAGGGTCATCACAGTGGCTCTCCATAACAGTGGGTTCATCGATGCTTTAGCCAAGTGCTGTAAAATAGACAGACATTTCAAACAAAGTCCTGCCAACACAGCAGAGCTAAAAGTTCAGCCTCTCATGTTCAAGAAGAGGAGACACTTGTCCAGGATGTACCCACACGCTGGAATTCAACTCTCGAAATGATAAAGCAGCTCCAACACAATAAAGACACACTGAAGGCAACGCTGGCACAGCAGAAGTACAATTGAGCCCTGCTTTCTCACTGCCATACAATTCATGAACTCTTTTATTTATCTCCCCCCCAGAAATACGAGTAAATACTATTTAAACTTCGTGATTAATCATGATTCTAATAGTGTGATTAATTTGATTGTTTCTTTTAATCGATTGACACCACTGAAGATAATCCACTTGTATAAAGAGGGGGAAAGTCAAAAGAAAAGAAGGAAAAACAGGAATGTCTAAAATTGGAGATCAAAACATGATTAAAAGCTACAGAAAAAAACTAAACGACTAACGACTGTCCAAGAGCTGGTAGACACCAAAACTGTCACCATCAGAAAAACAGCTTCCATCTTTGAGAGAGAGGAGAAAATCAAGCTCCTCTCTTACTTCAGATCTGAAAACATCCACAGGTGTTTCTGTCCATCCTTCCACTGTGAGAAGATGACTCAGCGCTATGGGTCTGAAAAGGATGTGTAGCTGTCAAGAAGAACCTCACTGAGAAAAAGGGAAAAGAAACAAAATTGCACTAAAACACCAAAAATGGAAGTCCGAGATGTGGAGGTTTCATGCGCTGATGTGTCAAAATTGCAACCAACTTGTAAGACTGAACTTTGGAGGCGTGGAAAAATATCCCTGCAGATTTCTTTGAAAAACTGAAAGCAAATCTTCCAAAAAACTTGAAGCTGTAATAAAGGCAAAGGGTGTACGTACTAAATACTGAAAAAATGATATTATATTTAGTTGCTGAGACTTATTTATATATTTATATATACTAATTGTCTGTTAAGTATGTTTTCTGCTTTTTTTCCTTCTATTAAGTCTTGAATTATTTCATAACCTTTGTTAGCAAAGCGTTTAAAGTATATGTGGCCTATGAATAATGCATCGCGTGTTGGATAATCATATACAAACACAGCTTTCCTGTCTACAGTATCTGAGCAGTCATATCATATTACACTCAGCATCTATGTCAACATATACCTTGTACTTACGCTTAATGGCCGCTAGAGTCTGTCTGCCTTTTAGATCCAGTATACAGATGTATGCTTACAGATTGGAGCCCGTCTGTTGTACATAATCTGTTAGCCACTCCCTAAATCAATTATCATTGGTCCGGTCAGTGTCTGGCCACAGGACAGCTGTTGAGCAGTTATGATGTGGTAGGCAGGGTGGATTTAGTGATCATGGGGCTCTAGGCAAAGGCAGGAATGGAGCCTCCTGGATGCACAGTTTTAAATTAGTGGAGGCTCTGGGCTCCTGAGTGGCGCAGACATCTACTCTGCAAAAAATGACATTTTGACAGGTAAAATCAACTTAAATCTAATTGATATATCTAGTATTTCTTATTTTGAGATGGTGGTACAAGATTGTTGAAGCAGTGCTGCTGGAGTTTTCAAACACTGTGTCCACTCTCTGTCCACTCTATTAGACACTCCTACCTTGTCAGTCCACCTTGTAGATGTAAAGTCAGAGACGATAGCTCATCTGCTGCTGCACAGTTTGTGTTGGTCATCCACTGGTCCTTCATCAGTGATCACAGGACGCTGCCCACAGGACGCTGTTGGCTGGATATTTTTGGTCGGTGGACTATTCTCAGTCCAGCAGTGACACTGAGGTGTTTAAAATCTCCAGCAGCACTGCTGTGTCTGATCCACTCATACCAGCGCAACACACACTAACACACCAACACCACATCAGTGTTACTGCAGTGCTGAGAATGATCCACCACCCAAATAGTACCTGCTCTGTGGTGGTCCTGTAGGGGTCCTGACCACTGAAGAACAGGGTAAAAGGGGGCTAACAAAGTATCAGAGAAACAGATGGACTACAGTCTGTAACTGTAGAACTACAAAGTGCACCTATATAGTAAGCGGAGATGATAAAATGGTCAATGAGCGTAGAAACAAGGAGGAGGTCATAATGTTATGCCTGATCGGTGTATATATGTATATATATAGGCAAGGCTACCGTCTCTAACTGCATTCCTCCACTAAGAAGCTAGAGGGTCGATGTTTCTAATAAAGTGAGTGTTGAGTGTCTCAAAGCTTGTGGACTCTTCCGCTGGTGTTGTATAGGGGGCTGTTTACTTGTACAACAAAGAACACAAAGGCACTGTTTTCAGGATAACGCCTGTGTTTTGGGTCCAGTACAAATTCTCAGAGATCTGCAGCCCTCTGCAGGAAGCATCAGACGGTTTCCACTGTTTCTCTATCAACACTGATCAGTGTATGCCCCTCTGGGCTTTTATTTTTTGTTTATTTTGTTTATTTATTTATTTATTTGTCGTAACATTCAGGACCTGGTTGTTGCTGTGGGATAATTTTGGCAGCTTTACCTCTTCTGGTACCTGCAAGTTCATCACTGTTGTTAAAGGGGAATTCCAATCATTTTCATTTCAAACTAAATCATTCAGGGTATTTTGATGTGAGAAAGTATATTGTAGAGAAACTTATCAGCTCTGATTTATTTACAGTGGTGGTGACGGGAACTATGGGTTGTGGTGTCTACAACACAAATATAGCCATTTTAGTTACTATCCACTGAACCTGTGTCTTGAATTTTTATATGCAGTGATGCTGGTAAATACATACTTTTATTTTTTTGACACTACTATTGTTAAAAATACATTTTAGGGCAGAACTTATCTTAAACATCTCATAAAACTGTGACATTAGGCAACGTATTTCAGGCAATAATTTTCTGTGAGGGAGCTTTTAGGCTTTAGCTCTTCAGACTTCTGGTTCCTTTCACCGCCACTGTGAACAATTCTGATTCAGTCAGTTTCTCTAGAACGGAGCATTTCACATCAAACAACTCTGTACGGCTTTCTTTACATTTCAACCCCTTAATTATGTGCATATTTAGGAAAATCTGCAAAATTCCCTTTAAATTATTCAGAAGCAAACAAGATTGGGTTAAATTGTCCACGTCTTTTGGAAAGTTTAGAAATCACCAGTAGCTGATTGAATTTTGTTGAAAGTGCATATTCTAAACTTTCAGTTGATTTTTATTCATAAGCAAAAGAGAAGCTATTTTATTAGATTTGAATGTGACGAAAAGGCATTGGTGTGTCAGTTCTGTTTTGTCAAGCCTAAGTAACATTTTTGCATATTTTCATTGCATTTTCGCATATCCAAACAGAAATGTGCATAAAGAAGTGCAAAAAAATGTACCTTTAATCAACTGTATAACTTTGTATGTTATTGAATATGCAGTTAGTAATTACATTTAAATATTATATTAATTAATAGCAACTTCTAAGGTCTAAATTCATCAG